CTAGGTTTATATATGTACTCTAGCAAGACGGATGTAATCGCCATCACAGTGACTTTGCTGATCCAACCTGCAGGGATCATAATATTGGACCCCCATGTTAGTTAGAGCCGGCAGAACCCATAAGCGTAAAGGAGGAGTAGCACTGTTCATTAGAAATGCTATATATATTTTTACCGTTATCGATAACAAATCACATGGAAATGGAACGTTGGAATAAGTTAGTTGCCGCTTGAAATTCAAAAGACACGAGCTGCTGATTATTCTGGTCAATCACAGTTAAAACTGTAAGCTCTTGCTGGACAATTTCGACGCTTAATCACCAAGTTGTGGATCTTTTATTTTAAGAGACTTTAATGCAGCTACCATAGACCCGAAAAATCTGAGGACTAAGACGTCGTAGAGTTCTTTCAAACAAGAACTAGTTGATGCGGCCATTACATATACCCTAGTGCAACATATGTAAGAAACAGCTAGATACGACAAAGATTCTGAATCATCCTCATTAGATTTCACTTTAACGCATCATAAGGACGACGTCAAAAACTTCCGTTACGTGTTATCCTAAGTTAAGTGTGATTGTGATCCTAGTCCTTCACTTTCTTGTTGTTGTTTACAACTGTTTATCAGACCAAACGACTGGAAGACAAATATAGAGGAAACTATGTGTTCACTACCGTTATCAGATTAGACAATAGAGTCAGGATTCCAACTGAAACATCTTGCGATGTATTCGGAAATTTGCACACAAAATGAACTACAATACACATCCTTTAGACTACACCAAGAAGTCCGAAAAACGCCTCTCCATGGTTTATTAAGAAGTTTTGCACCCTCATCTGTAAGAGGAGTAAAATGTAGGAGAGACGGTACAAAATCTTCACATCGTGAAACTCAAAATATTTGTGTCTCAACCTTCCGCAAGTGTAGAAGATTGTATAAAGAAAAGCTTGCTAAGGAGTCTACAGAATACCCTAAAATCTTCCGCTCGTACATAAACCAAAGGACTAAGAGAAGAGCCATTGTCTCAGAATTATATGTAGGTGGTAGTACCGTAGAAGTGCAATTCCACTCAGTTCATGCACACACACACTGGATACTGCAATCACTAAAGAACTCGATATGATTGGTCTGCTAAATAACACTGATATAGATAAATCCACGAGAACCGATGAATGTATTCTAGGTTACCAAAGGCGTTGGTAAATTCTGCCGCAAACCCCTTAAGCATATGTATTAATCTGTCTGTAACCAAGGGTGAATTACCAAAAGACCAAAGTAACGCCTGGTAAGTCTTATCTCTAGAGCAGATACGAGGCGTAAACCTGAGAACTATTTACACGTAGGCTTATGTAGGGTGGTTAGTAAAAATTTAGAAAAAACCGTTCGGAAGTTGTTTAAGAATCTAGAAGAATGCCGTATTCCTTCTGAAAAGCAACAGGGCTTAAGAAAATGTTATTCATGTTTCACAAACTTATTGGTGGCCCGTGAGATTTGGTGCGCTCTTAAACATCAAAAGTTACCTGTAGATGTAGCCTTCGATGACTTCAGCGAGGCTTTTGACAAAGTTCCTCAAAACCAACCGCTATATAGGTCAAGTAATATCGGGATTAGAGGCTATTTATTAACGTGGATAAAGGATTTTGTAGTTATGAGTCAACAAAGAGTATGGTTGAATTCAAGGTTATCTAGTTGGAAAACTGTGCTTACCGGAGTGTCTCAGGGTAAAGCTTTTGGGTCACTGTTGGTCCTATTGAGTGTAAATGATCTTCCTAGTCTTTTATAATCTATTTTTCTGTTTGCTGACGACGTCAAGATATGGAGAGCGATAAGAAGTAAAGGTGATAGTTCGGAGCTTGAAAATGACCTGGGGAAATTATTTAAGTGGTCTAAAACTTGGCAGTTCCCGATGAATGCTTCCAAGTACATTATGATGCATACTGGTCACCGAGGTACAGATACACACGGTGAATAACGGTGAGCTACCCGTTTTCTTGAAACACAAAGACTTGAGACTCATTGTTAGTCAAAATTTTTAAAAAACTACAAAAAATTGCCGTGCAATAGTCGTCAAAGGTTTCAGAACCTTTTGGTTAATACGGACAGCTTTTATCCATTTATATGCAATAACAGCTTCGACTTTGTATACAGTATTTGCTCATCCTAAAGTGGAGCGTTGCACACAGTCGGCTAGCTCCTGTCTAAAATGGGACGGTTGGCTGTTGGGAAGGAATCAGAGAACCGCGACTAAGCTGATTACCGGAATCGCGAAACTCTCGTATGATGATCGACTGGGCAAGATAAACCTATTTCCACTAATATTATAGAGCAACCAGCTGTGACTTGGTCACAGTGTAGATCACCAACATAGATGACCTGTGTCTAATGATTGGAGCCCCACGTAAGTTAGACGAGAATGATGTGACAAACAGATGAATTTGAAATAGCACCATGTGGTCAGCACCTAATGTGGACTACCCTTTCGTCGTATCAAGGCGCTATTGCTGCTTTGAAACGGTATAAAACAAAGGACATTATTACAGAAATATATTGGTAAGAGTACGTACAAGAGAGAGAGAGAGTAAGACCATCATCACATGAGACAGTCTGTGGCATTCGATTGATTGATGCGCATTAGCTGTCTCTGAACTTGACGAGGATCCATGAACTGTTTGACATTCAGCCACTCAACTGCAGAATGATTTGGCTAGGGCCCAGTGACATTTCACTAGTCATATAGCAGTTTTAAGTTACTTAACAATAAGTCTGCATCGGATATGCCCTTAATTTTCTTATTTTCCAAAACAGGGAATTCACGAGTATACTCTAAAAATGTTCACAAGCCCGGAACATATTACATGTCATTTGGCTTCATTACCAGACAAAGCTTATGGACAAATTTGCTTCGAATCCTAGAAGCCTATTCCGTTATGCAGCTTCTCTTCGTCAAGCCAAAACAGGAGTTTCTCAACTGCTAGGTCTTAACGGCCCGACCAGCAACGATGGTGACGCCGCTAACCTTCTGGCGGCACATTACTCTCAAACATTTCAGCCGGCTGACATCAACTTTATTGACGACAGTTTCATCTGCAATTCCACAGGGCTTTCCGAAGTGAACTTAAGCGCTGACTTGTTGCTCCGGAAACTGCAGCACTTAAGACTAGATACTTCTCCTGGCCCGGATATGGTTCATTCTGCCATACTGAGGGAGGCAGCCTCAATCCTGGCAACGCCGCTTAGCGTGATGTTTTCACACTCGCTAAGCCGAGACAAACTACCGGAAAATTGGAAGTTGGCTCACATCACACCAATTTTCAAAGGGGGTCGACGCAATGAACCTTCAAGTTATCGGCCTGTGGCTCTTCTGTCATTAATTTCAAAACTCATGGAGTCCCTGATATGCGACGGTTTAAACGATTATCTACTGTCCTTAAATTTCTTCTCACTCCAACAGCATGGCTTCAGAAAGGGTTACTCTTGTATAACCAACCTGCTGACTGCGGTGGACAGATGGACAAGCATCCTCGATCGCGAGGGAAAGGTTGATATCATTTACCTTGATTTCTCAAAAGCTTTTGATAGGGTTAACCACTTGTGTCTTATCACTAAGTTCAAACGACTAGGTATCAAACCACCTCTAATCGATTGGCTTACTTCATACCTAAAAAATCGACACTTTAAGGTTAGGGTTAATTTCACTTTATCTCAGGCTATGGAATGTCCTAGTGGTGTCCCCCAGGGCTCAGTACTATGGCCTCTTCTCTTCTTGATCTACATAAACGATCTTCCTCAACAGGTAACGTCAGACTTATTACTTTTTGGCTACGACGTGAAACTTTGCAGAGAGATACGCAACTAAGACGATACACAGACACTTCAGGAGGATCTGACTCGACTTCAAAGTTGGGCAGATGATAACGGACTTACGTTTAACACTTCAAAGTGTTAAGTAGTCCATCTGCGACATGTCTCAGACTACAGTTATAACTTAGGAAACTCCTCTCTAGTGATATCCCAAGTCGAAAAAGATTTAGGATTCCTGGTGCCCCATGATTTAAAGTCTTAAGCTAATTGTGACAAAAATGCCTTCCGAGCAAACCTTGCACTGGTAACATTGAAGCGCATTTTTGGCCAGTTTGACGGAAGATCTTTCCATATGATCTTCAATAGTTTTATCCGTCCCCATTTAGAGTACGGAAATATAGTACTTCCCCCTCACTCCAAAAGGACAAGGTCACTTTGGAGCGTATCCAACGGCGAGCCAGGAAATCAGTTCGAGGACTCAAATCTAAGCCTTACGAAGAACGCCTCCATTCACTAAACCTTTACCCATTAGAGTATAGGCGTCTTAGAGGTGATTTATTAATGGCTTATAGTATTCTTAACACTTCTGGACATCCTCATAAACACCTACTCAAGCTTAGTTCGAATAATAACCTAAGGGGTAACACCCAGAAACTTGAAACTCAACATAACAAGACGGGATGTAGACACAACTTCTACTCCTTAAGAGTTGTCAAAAGCTGGAATTCGCTGCCGGCCGAGCTAGTCCAAGCGACTTCTCAGGAGTCCTTCAAGAGGTAACTTGACCTATTCTTAAGGACCAAGGACAGTATCATACTATGATTTACCAATTTCTTTTCCTCTTTTATTGTTAGCTTACCTAGGTTCCTGCCTGGAGGATTTGGTGATCCCCTGCTACTAGACACGGAAGCCTGTTAAGCGAAAGCTTCTTCTATTCCGTCCACAACCACTTGAACCATTTGACTATCGACTCGTCAACGCATAGAACTCATTTGGTTGAAGATCCATCAGTGGACGCTTTAAAAAATATGTTGGGTTAGCTGAGAGAGCATCAGTGCCCAAGACTGGGACAGGTTACCCAATCTCATGTCCTTTCGAGCCTGAAATTATTAATTAGGCATTTCAAGGTCGTGGAAGAAAACGCGGTTGTCTTTGAAAGTGGTGTGGTGTCAACCCATTTTTTGCAAAGCCATACGAAGATGAAAGCTGTTTGTGTTATGACTGGTACAGCTGGCGTAAAAGGCGTTGTCAAATTTACTCAGGAAGTAAGTTGGTTGTAATCCGTTACTCAAGTGAAATGTTTATTTTACTACTGGCCATTTCAGGGATGACCACTTTCTAATGAGAAATTGTTGTATTTACGTCAATTTCTGTGTTTTCAGCACTGAAATAGGTGATTCTTGTGAAGCAGACATGGGTAATAGTGCTTAGAACTTCTGGATTGTGAACTTCAAGACAGTTCTCATAAAAGACAAGACATGTCACTATTTTGCCGTGAAAAACAAAAATGTCAACTGCCAGATGCTATGCCACACAAATTCACACTGGATTTCTTTTAATGTGTTACATACGCCCACCTCAAACTACTATTTTCACGTTTTTTCGTAAATATTGGATAGTATTATCCATTGGGTGATTTTTCAATACTTGTAAAGGAATATGTAAAAGTGGTGATTGTTTGGTTGAATGGCAATAACGTTCTCGTTTCTGTCTAAAGCAGAGGGCCTGTAAGCATTGAGACTCTTGTTCCAGGGTTATAGTCAAACCAACTCGGCCGGCTCATAACTGACAGGATCCTTACTGTAGATCATTTAGTGAGCGATTTTCATGGGGATATAATTATTGAATATTTCTGAATCATTGAAAGTCTTTGGAAAACCATGTGTTGTAACTGCAGAGTATCAGTGACACTGGAAATATACGTGACGGGTTATTATTCTATTGTCATTTATCTCACTAACAGATTTGCAACCCAACTTTTAAGCACTTAATCTTGTTACTAATGCACTGGATAGTTAGCAGTTCTGTACTTAGTATTGCAGCGCCGGTAAGTGCCACTTATGTTACGGCAGTACAGTGGTATAGCGAATAGGAAGTAAGAAAAAATATTGAAAATGAGCTGGAAAGTAATTTAAACTGTGGTAAGTTCATGGGGTTTGATATCGGGATTCCAAAAGTAGACTTATTTCTGCAGTTAGAGGATAGATATATTTAGGTACTGCCATATGTACTAAAGCCTGGTAAGCTTACAGATGCCTTGGAATTAAGGGGCACCAACATTCAGTTGTCTGTCCATCACATATCTTGTAAATCTCCTGAATAAAGTTTTTATTAGCAACATAAATAAAGCTTGGGGGTGTTTGAAAAACTACTGCACTAAAATACAATAGATAAAATTATTTTCTATTATATTAGTAAATTTCTTTACCAAAATCCCGTGATTTCAAGAGAGATTGACTTGTGGATATGGAGTTTATTAGTGATTTATAAATTGCATATGCTTGTTAATTTATTTTTACTTAACCATTCTTACACAACCTGTATTATAGTTAACCAAGAATCAGTCTTAATTTCTCCGGGTCATTTAAAAGTTGCTTAAACTTTCGAGTGCTATTTAGGTAAATCGTAAGTAAATAGTAATAGAAATAATTCAGATTTTGTTATGGGAGTAATATGATATCTAGTTATTTCCTCTCACCAATTTGGCAAGCCTATGACGTAGCAACGACACATCAAAGGTATTATAAAGAAATGAAAGTATAGTAATGATGAACTCTATGTCTATGGCAACTACGTTTCTCGCTCCGAAAAACGATCAATCGATTCAAATAATTATCATTACTATTATTGTCATTATTATTATTATTTTCCACATTATTCACCCTCTTTTATACTTTATACAGCGGCTCGTCTTTGGTGGAAATCCGACTGTATCTAAACGTTCTCGAGTCACTGTCCGGTTGAAAATTGTATGTTACCATCGAATATGAGTACTGAAGCAGTTTTTCTGAAACCACGTGCGCCATTCAAACTGGCTGACTTCAACGTTCGCACACTTATGCAGGTCGGACAACAGATAGGGCTGGCTATGTCTTTGGAAAGTCTTAATATTGATGTTTGTTGTCTATCCGAGACCCGTATTCAAGACTCTGGCGAAGTACTACAAATTCGATCTCCATCTGTCGCTTCGAAAAGCTTGTTTTACGTGCGCTTATCCGGGGACCCTGTGGCATCTTCGTCTGGTCTTGCTGGCGTTGATGTCGCACTAAGCGGTAGAGCTGAGGCAGCACTAGTCGATTGGATCCCTATTAACAATCCCTTACGTGCTGTTAGATTAGAAAGTTCCATCAAGGTGAGAAGAAATCGGCGTGAGAAACGATGTCTTTTCGTCATCCCCGACAGATTACAGTCCGGATGGAATCAAGGATGAGTTTTACCACCAGTTATCTGTTCTTCTCCAGAAAGTGCGTTCGACAGATATTGTAGTACTAGCCGGAGACTTGAATGCTCAGGTCGGGCGTCTAGGCACAGAAGAGAGTCGTTTAGGTGGCCGATGGGGACTCGTTGGTCGCAGGTCAGATAACGGGGACCGTCTACTGCAACTGTGCGCAGACCACAACCTGTTTCTGGCTAGCACTAACTTTCGGCACAGTCATCGCCGATGTACCACCTGGCGTCCTCCCTCTGCATCCCAAGCCTGGACTCAGATTGATCACACCGCGATCAGCTACCGCTGGCGTGGTTGTGTAAAAGACTTCCGCTCCTTTTGGAGTACCTATCTGGACTCTGACCATGCCTTGGTCTGCGCCAATCTTGCCTTACTTTTCAGTGGACAACGAAGTGACCGCCAGCAAAGGATTGATATCAGCAAGCTGGTTGCAACTCCTGTTGCAAATAAGTATCGAACCGAGCTAGCCTCTAGGCTAGCTACCACTCCACCGAAAAGTATAGATGAGCATTGGTTGCAATTGCATGACGCCATGAAAATGGCGGGAACAGTCAGTTGTGGGTTTGCGAAACGTCCCGCTTTTAAGCACTGGGTTTCTTCTGGTTCCTTACAACTCATTGAAGCCCGTCGGTCTACTCCGGGTGACCGTGAGTTTGACCATAAACGAAGGATGTTACGTAAGGAAATTGGGCAAAGCTGGCGTAAGGACCGAGAAGCCCGGTGGTCGAAGCGTGCTAATGAGCTGGAAGCAGCAGCTGCATCTGGTAACTACCGGAAGCTCTTCCAGCTCATCCGAGCCACTGGCAGCAAGAAGTCTGGTGTGAGTGAAACAATCTGCGAGGATGATGGGATGCCAATCACTAACATCCATCGACGTCTTGGACAATGGGCAGAATTTTTCGAAGGGCAGTTCAACTGGCCTGCTGCTCCGGCAACATCGGTCAGATTGTCTTGCCCTCCATGGCCGGTGACTACTGATCCACCAAACGAGGAGGAAGTCCGCAAGGAACTCCAACTCTTGAAGCGTTACAAATCACCTGGCTCAGATGACTTACCTCCGGCTCTTTTTTAAGATGGTGGTGACTTTTTGACTAAGGAATTGACGACGTTGTTTACAAAGGTTTGGGAACTAGAGAGTGTACCAACGTCATGGAATAAGTCGATAGTTGTCCCTATCTTTAAAAAGGATTCACGTCGTTCCTGCAACAACTATCGGGGGATAAGTCTACTTCCGATTGCGTCCAAGCTATTGGCTTCCGTCATACTTCGTAGGTTGTTCACAACCCGAGAAAGATTGACTCGCGAGGAGCAGGCTGGGTTTCATTCTGGTCGAGGATGTATTGATCATATCTTCACCCTCCGCCAAATGTTAGAACATCGCCATACTTATCAAAGGCCAACAAACGTAGTGTTTCTTGACATCAGGGCTGCCTTCGATTCGTTGGACAGGACTGTTCTCTGGGACTGTCTATTGAAGAAGGGTGTGCCTGAGAAGTTTATTAACATCCTAAAAGCCCTATATAAAAACACCTCAGGCAGAGTGAGGCCATACAACCACATTTCTCCATTGTTCCATTCGAGTAGTGGGGTTAGGCAGGGTTGCCCAATCTCACCATTCCTCTTCAACTTTGCCATCGATGACATTCTGAAATCAGCTCTGATAGATGTAAGTGATGGTGGTGTTGATCTGTTGCCTGGAGAAAGACTTCTCGACCTTGAGTATGCGGACGATATTGTCTTACTGTGCGATAATGCCCAAGACATGCAATCCGCACTTAATCAGTTGGCAATCAGTGTCCGTAGGTATGGTATGTGTTTTGCACCTTCGAAGTGCAAAGTACTTCTACAAGACTGGCAGGATTCCAATCCTGTACTCACCCTGGATGGTGAGCAGATAGAAGTAGTCGAGAAGTTCGTGTATCTGGGTAGCTGCATAAGTGCTGGTGGGGGTGTGAGTGATGAGATCAATGCACGTATAGTGAAAGCCAGAGCGGCTTATGCCAATCCAGTCCATCTTTGGCGCCTTCGTGATGTTAGTCTGGCTGTAAAAGGTCGGATCTACAACGCGTCGGTGAGAGCAGTTTTGCTCTATGCTTGTGAAACCTGGCCTCTCCGAGTTGAGGACGTTAGACGACTCTTTGTGTTCGATCATCGCTGTCTCCGAAGGATTGCTGACATCCAGTGGCAACACCATGTCAGTAATGCAGAGGCTCGGCATCGTGTGTTCGGGCACAGAGATGATAATGCAATTGGTGTTACCATCTTGAAACACCGACTTCGGTGGCTTGGACATGTTCTACGAATGTTGTCCCAGAGAATTCCACGTCGTGCATTATTTGCCGACTCTGGGACTGGTTGGAAGAAGCGGAGAGGTGGTCAGTACATGACATGGTGTCGTGGCATGAAAGAAAGCTGCAAAGGACTGGCTTGTGTTGGTCCTTCACGACTCCCTGGTTGGGGTCTGAGAGATGGTGCTACACAGTGGCTAGAGACGTTATCAGATATGGCTCAGAATAGAAGCCAGTGGCGATCCTGCTGTAACCTTCATTTACTTTCTTCATAAAAAGTGGTTGTGTCTCCCTTACCTGAAAGATTCCTTCTGATTGTACCTTTGCGTTCCCTGATTACTACCACACTACCTTACACCAATCTCTTCGTTATTGTTCTCTCTTTTTTTTGTGCTCCTTAGCTTTTTTTTTCTTTCTTTGTATTCGTCTCGAAATTTCATTGTTTTGTGTGGCGCATTTATATCGGCGCTCTCTTGTACCAATATTCATGTGTCCAAAATAAAATAATAAAATAAAATGGTCTTATGAGTTAAGAAGGGCTGTTGGGGTTGATATTCACCATCATTATATCTATTTCTTTAACGTTCATAACTTGTATATCTAAGTCATTAAGGTTGTGATGTACAAAACCTTCCTGTTCATTAAAATCTGAAGCTACATATACTAACCTACTTTGCTTTTATCAGCCTTGAAGTGTTCAGTCAGAGGATATTCAACAATTTTCTTCATATAACTTCCATTTTTTTACTAATACCAAGGTTTCCCACTGTATAGACCTAGTCAGTTTTAGTTCATTGCGTTTTTCACAAAACTGATCTTGATGTTCAAGATTATGACTTATTTACTGATGTTAGTATTGATTTAAAGATACAGAGATAACTTTTTGATGTAATCTTGTTGATTAAAGGGTTATCGTACTGTGATAAACCAAACTTTTATGGGGCTCACATTTAAAGTTAGTAGTCGTCATACACCATCTTAAATTTTTTCCACTAATTGTTTTAAAGAGAATAGTAAAATTGACTTTGTATAATAACTTATGGAAAATGTTTTGTCCGTGCTTGAAGTTTATTGTATCGTCTTACATTTTTAAAAGATTTACCGCCAAACATTTCTTTTACACTTTTAGACTGATAATGGACCTGTTAATGTGCACGCCGAATTTAGTGGACTCAAGGCTGGTAAACATGGCTTTCATGTTCATGAATTTGGTGATACAACAAATGGATGTATTTCAGCTGGAGCTCATTTCAATCCAACTAAACAAGAGCATGGGGCACCAGAAGATAGCATTCGTCATGTTGGTGACCTGGGAAATGTTGTGGCGGGAGTTGATGGAAACGCAGTTTATGACGCGACTGACAAATTAATATCTTTGAACGGCTCTCATTCAATAATTGGTCGAACTATGGTCGTAAGTATTGATATTCACTGTCGTAGTTATTGTATACTGTTGGTTTTAATTCCTCAACACTGAACAGCTAGCAAGGTTGGTCACAAAATTTCAATTCTCATATAAATAGGAAATGTCTCGATCTATTCCAGTAGTTAGACTTACTCGATGTAGATGAATTGATTTGTAGGGAAGTCTCATCATGTATGAGTGTTAACTGCTATTTGGAAGGAATATTTTTATTGTGAACAATGGAACTTATTATAAAACTTCATCGTTTTTACTCAGCAGAATAGTTGCGGTTAAGCCGTTTAACTTTCAGACACGAATTTCCAAGTTCTGTAAAGACGCCTAGAGGTATCAAGTTTAATGAGTGACGGGGACTGCAGTTCACAAGCAAATATTTAACCCTTAAGTCGATCTTGGCTTAGCGACCCAAGATTAGAATGTTCACATGCACAATTCATTATGCCGGCATATATGAGGAAATCATCATTCCATTCCTGAAATGAATTTATGAAACTAATGAACGCTGCCTAATGACGACTGCTTTCTAAAAATTGATATCTAGATATTTTTAGCAAAATGAACTTCGTATACGTAGTTTGCCTACTTATCCCCAACTTTTTATGATGAACTAAAGCTCTTATACCACTGTTTAGACCAGTTAATCCAATTATAAACGAGTCTTCAAATCTACAACGTAGGACCAGGCACATGTGTGCATCGGTCCAAGTTTCCACACTTCATTTGCACAAGATGAACACAAAATTCATAGAAGTAGTCACTTCAATGGTAGTGATATATTAAAGGAAGATTATGTATAAGGATATAGTACAGGAAGAAAGAACTAGTTCGTAGAAAGAAAGGTATAAAGTAATTTTAACCTCACGGTTAAGCGAAGACAAAAGTGTATACACCTATGTCATTGTGACCGATTCTGAGCCATGTCACCCAATCTCTAACCATTGGTTACGATAATCACGCAGACCCCAACCAAGTAGTCTGCATCTACCAACATGGCTCAAACCAGAAGTTAACGACTTCAATGACTGATGCCACGTTTTGATTTGGCTGTCCCTAACTTTCTTCCAGCCGTCTCCAACAATAGTCAGCATTGCGCGTCTTGGTAGTCGGTGTTCAGGCATACGTAGCACGTGGCCAAATAATCTTAGTTGGTGAAGATTTATGACCTCATCGACTGATTTAACATCATTACCTAATATCCTGCGTCTAACCTCATTATTACTTACCCGGTGATACCAGCAGATACCAGTAATATTTCTAAGGCATCTGTGGTCAAATACTAGTGGCTTACGAGTATCTCCTACTCTTTATGGCCACGTTTCGCAGCTGTAAAGTAAAACAGAACGAACTGCTGCTCAGTATACTCGTCCTTTTATTGATAGATGGATATCTCGCCTTCGTCATAGGTGACGTAAGTTGACAAAAGTCAAACGAGCTTTTTGAATCCATGCAGTGATTTAGTCAAAAACCAACCCATTATGATCAGACTTCAAAGATAAGTGAAGTTATCGATGTGTTCGACTACTTCATTCCCTATCCTTAGTTCATATCTGCTGCATCAAACGTTGGAGGTGATCTCAGTTTCGGAATAAAAAATAACACCAACTACTTATATCAACGGTACCAGCTCTGTTCGGAGAATCATTCACTAATGATAGAAAGTTTGGTGCCTGTCGTTTCAAATAGTGGCAACTGTGTGATTTCAAAGTGTTTCTGTTGAGGTATCGATGACTTGACTTCATCGATTCAGAATGACATGCTCCAAATCATCCCCGTCTGTACTTGTTATAACCGCAATAAACATCTGCTTAAAACAGGAAAACACTGAAGTTTATACAATGCCATGACAACTACAAAGGCTAACAGCAAATGAAAATTCTATTCACCCTTCACAAATGTGATAGCCACTCAACCAAAATACACTCATGTATAAATTTGACTGGCGTCTGTATGTGGAAATGTCATTTTATTAGAAAAATCCTATTCCGATTGGCAGCCGTTATATCTTTTTATATTAGTTCTTTGAAGACTTGTATCAGTAATTTGATTTCATTAATGGTTATCACTTGACCGTATTGTATCAGCGCATATCATCTATCGATGAAAATTGCATTCACTCGTCTAAATAGTGAGTAAAATCATCTAACATGCTACTATTTAACTGGTATGTTTTACTATTATTGTTAAGTTTATACATATTACTGCTCGAATAAATAAACTCATTCACCAGGTAATTGGGTGTGGGCCACATTAGTTGTGAGGGCTGACGGTACCTCTTGCTAGCCCAAGTCCAAGTAAGTGAGGCGGGTTTGAACACGGGACTTTGTGGTTGTTGGAGAACTTAGATTTCCAGAACTTACTTGGTAAATGTCTCATTTTTGTAATTTTATTTTGGAAATTTCAATTTCTTGTTTTCACGCCAAAAGCACCCATTTTCACCTTTATATCGTATTTCCCACTTGGGAGGACCTTAAATGTCATTTGTTCGTTGTCTCTCTCAATATGTTATTTTGTAACGTTTCCCAAGGACATTTTTATGCTGTATATATACGCTCGAGTTGTGCTTGTTTTTGTTCGTGCTTCTGGCTGCTTGTGGAATCCATTTTCGCTCTTCTGAGCCTGAACTTCTCTCTCTAGTTAGCGGGACTGGGACGCATCTGAATAATTAACCTATTTGGTCATTGTATCTCTGAGTCTTCGTTCCGTCCGCAGATTTAGGTGAACTCTTAATCTCTTCAAAAATAGCGGTGATCGAAAGTAGAATATCTTAACCATTAAACAACTGCTCATGTTAGTGTGGAGTCGTGGTAGGAAACTAATTGTGAAGAGTTGTTTCACTCTATTCGTTTTTTACTACATATCTAAATTTAAATTTCCGCTTTTCTGAAATTCATAACTTATTCAAATCATAATATTTTGATCTATGACCTCAATGGCGCAGGTGTATCCACTCTTTGTGTTCTCCCAAATTCTAATCTTCTGAATCCTTCATGTCCCTTTTTTCTCTTTCCACATTTATTTCACTGGATTATACTCTTTAAATAACATCTTCAAATCCTAATCTTTCCGATTACTGCTTATACTTTTACTACCTCTACCACTACGGGATTTGAATCGACAACTACATCTCTGTGCTAATGTGGTATGGCAACTCGAACTGATGTACGTACGTACGAAGTTGTTACTGACCGA